CGTTTATGTGTTTAAATAATTATGTAAAAAAACTTGGCTTTGAACTAGTTTGTCAGAGGCCGTGATATTACTTCGTAACTGTATAAACCAAAGTGGGGCATAATTTAGATGAGTATTTCAACCATGAAATCTGTATTATTGTTTAAGTTTTTTAAAGCTCCAAAAGCCGCTCATTATTTTTAAAATGGATTTTCTGTGTATACTTGTCTAGTTGCGCCATAGGAAGCATCCTCCTTTTTTCCGCGGATAGAAATGCTTTTTCTGTTACTGTCGTTACTTTCTAATATGACTTTTTACTTTAGTTTCACGAGTTTTCTAAACATGTAAGTAGTTATCACTTGTGTAAACCACCCTTTTTTGGTTTATTTGATGTTATTTTTTTAGTTAAGGGCAGAATGAAGATAAGTAGTTGTATATGACCAGTAATCGAAGGCGTCCTTAGGTTAACCGAAACTTAAATCCTTTATTATTTTTAATTGATTTTAATTTTTTTTCCCTTTTTTAACAGATGAGGTTTACCTTACAAATCCAAACGAACTAGTCCCTGTCCAATATGTCTTAGATCAATTATCTAAGAAACCTGAAATCCGTATTTCTAAAGCACAAATTTCCAATTTATGGACAAAGCATTATTTACATTCAAAATTATGCCCTGATAGAGATCAAATTATAGAAGATAAGCAACATATTTTTTGTAAATCAACATTTTTCACTGGTGAAAGTCTTACTTTACTTGCGAGACACCCGGATCCTAGATGGGCTTCTATGAATATAATGGGTAGGTAAAAGTAGACATTTATACTCGTGATACATTAGTGCTTAATCTTTTCTAAATGTTATATTTTGCCGAATAAATCATAGTTCCAAAAAATGGTTACTGTTAATTTTGAATAAATAATCAACTAAAAACGTGAAGTAGTCATGTTATTTCAAGGATAAATCTAATTTTAAATGTCAATATCAAAAATCCCCATAAATCCCGTTCTCACACAGTCGTTTAGTTGTAGTTGTAGTAATATGAAGTCATCTATTTCGATGTCGAATCCCATTGTACTTCACTGAAATCACGAACCGATCTAAGTTAGACGACCATTGAAAACTTTGGAACACTAAACGACTGTTTCTCCACAGTACGCGACTCAGTGGCACGCATCTACGACGCGGGTACGATTCCCAGTTGCGAGATCATCGATAGGGATTAGCGGAAAATTGCGCACTAGGACGAAATGTCGGTCCAGTGCCTCCAGGTTTTAAATATCGTCTAATTGCTCGGTTCATTATTTTAATTAAACTCAACTCATTCGAAAGACATCTAATCACATCGACAACTGGATAAATTAGAAACATGAAATAGTGTTTTTAGATATTTTAACTATGTGTGCTCTGTTTTTCTGTGATCAAGTCACCGTTCCATCTAAACGTTTAACAGTGATAAAATAAAAGTATGACTCATTATTCGTTGATAAATTTCGATCTAATTTGTTCTTTACTTTTTATCATGGTTGGGTCAGCCACTGATGTCGAAATAAACATAGAATTTAGGATAAATGCATATCAGTTCAAGTTGCCACACCATATCAACAAACCATAATAAAATTATCAATATGAATATCAAAGTAGGAAAAAAGTTGTAATATTAGTAACAGTATAGATGAAGTGATTCGGGAAAAAGCGGTATATTCGCAAAATATTTTATGAAGTAATTTTGAAACTCGAAACCTAATAGAGGACAAATAATAAGTGTATCTGTGCCATTGTGATCGATTCTGAGCCATGTCACTCAAATTCAACAATCGATCACAATAACCGCACAGATCCCGGCCAAATAGATGGCACCTACTTAGATAAACAGCTCACTCTAGTAGTCTGTGACTTCACGAATATTTATTTTAAATCTTGATTTGGCTTTTAATAGCTTTATTTTAGCTTAATCCTATACCAGCAAGCATCTCGTATCAAAGTAAACGATGGTTGGGCATACTTACATATTTCCTAACCACCGTCGACCAAGATTCAGAATCTCATCAACCGATTTGTTGTTTTCCAAAAACCGCACGTCTAACTTCAGAATTGTTGCGGTTGCATGTACAACTGTAATGTACAATATAAATTCCCTGGTATATTTACTGACTCATGCTCAAATAGGTACAACTGATCACTGATAAACACTATGGTCTTAAATAACTACTTCGAAAGATGCGATGAGTGACATTCGTTATATTAAGTCAGTTTGTGGTACTATTCCTACCTGTTCGATTGTCGCTGGCAGAAACTTGTCGTTGCAGTGAGCCCCACTAGCCTCCAAAGAGAATTAAAAATTACTCTTTCAAGCTAACTCACTATTTAGTTCTACTTTTCTCCTTGAATAAAAATTCTCGACAACCCACTTTGGAATTTGTTATCAATCTTGTCATAAGTTGTATCAAGGAATAAGTAGTATACTGTATCGCGAACCGAAGGAATTTCGAAAGTGTCAACTGTTTGTTTGAGTTCTAATGCTGCTTTTTTTACAGTAAAATGGTAACTTTGTTACGAGGTGTAAATATACGGCTGTGTCAAAATACACTGCATAGTATATCATCATATACAAAGTTGAAACCAAGGCAAAATTTAACGTTTATGGTAACTGAGCGATTTCTAACTGACAGATTCTTGCAGAAAGTCAATGTGCTTATTCGCTAATTTCCCTTTGTGCTAAGTAATTGTCTTCTTTATGTAGTACCAAGGCTTTAAATTGTGCTATTTTTTCCATCTTTTATTTAGGACAAGTATTGTGTGCTTTGCGCAGTTTGGAGCGTTGGGCTGATACTCTAGAGTTATCGACCGTGGTATCGTTAGATTGTGTAAACCATCAATCCACGTTATTTCCTGATACAACTCCATCTATCAGTTGTAGTCGTACAAACTCTACAGAGGTGGAACAATTTTCCAATTCTCCAGCTATTATCATTCCATCAGCTCAATTGCCTGGAATAAGTCTTTTTGTCGAAAAATCCAATTGGGAACTAGTTCGTACATTATTACAAACTAAAGCGTAGAATAAATGTCGCAAACATTATGATTCCATTTGATTTAGTGAAAATCGCCATGCATTTCATTTAGAGTTCATCAATTCCTGCTTGTGATCATTATAAACCTCTCGTAAACATACGCTAGCTTGTACATATAAATCTTCCTTTGTCAACATTTTGACTGCAGTCAATCAATGCTGATCCACTGGTTTATTAACTGCTTTCAATATATTTTAAATATTTTTCCACTTTTTATTTTAGATAATCTTGCAGGGTCATTCTGTACCTCTAAAGCTACAACTGGAAATTGACATTATATATATATATATATATATATATATATATATATATCAATGGTCTTATTTATTACAGCTGTTTGGTAATTTTGTTTTTGCGATTAAATAAAATAGTCGTTTAAATTTTATGCGAACCATACTCTTTTGTATATCAATCAGTCAGTAACAAAGAACTTCGTACGTATATAATATGCAGTAGTCTATCTTCTCCACTAACTGATGTATTGCCATGTTTTCGAACTAAATTGTAAGTCTCTGGAAGGTTTGAATAAGTAATAAAAATATAAGCAAACGTACATTTATACTGATATGAATGATTTATCCAAGTCTACGGAAATTTTACACTTTCTACATGAAATTTTAAAATATCAACATGTATATCCACCTACGGTCTTAAGGGAAAACAACCTTATACAACGGTCTGTCAGTTTGAATTGTCGTATTTCAAAACAGCACAGGAAATTAGTCACAATGACTTCACTAAAAGACGTTTCGAAGGACACTAACAACGAGCACATAAACAGATAACCATTACTATACAGGGGATTTGTGGAGACTGTTGAATTTGATAGTTAACATCAGACTGATCTTGGCTTAACTATCGCAAACCAGAAGGTAATGGATAGGTGTTTCGACATTAGATGTGTAAACCATTGGATCCGGTTCAGTGGTCTAAAGGTTAAGGGCCTGCCGCGAAACCCGAAGGTCCTGCGCTCGACCTTCGGCGAAGTCTCAGTTTTGAGGAGTTCAATACTAGGACGAAACAACTCTCCGGTGCTTCCTAGCTTTCAATGGCTGTTTGATTAAAGTCAATCCGATGTTACCTGTAAGGTAACTACTACTTACTGAGGTTTTATGGATGGGTGTTTTTGAAACACTTCAAAATATTCTTTAGTCAAAAAAAATGGTTTTCTACATAACCATTCTACGAAAATCTTCGCAGTTTACTTTGCCAAATAGGTGTTTCATCGTTGACAATGTACTGCTTATATATCAGCTACAGTGCCCTTGCCACATTTATGAAAATATTGGTAGGTGGACGCAATGCTAATTAAATACAGGACAAAAGAAGTCTCTCAAACAGCAATTTTGTTAAGTGGGTTCGCCACAAAAAATCACTTACTAGTGTGATAGAATTATGCGTTTTAACAAGCCACATGGTAAACGAAGACGCAAAAAAATAATTGTGATTGCATTTTCGGGAGATTTATTGGGCGCCCTGGCAGGATCCTAGCCCCCACATAAATCAAATGATTTGTGTGGCGCATATATATTTGATGCCTCCTTGTACCAACGTTCATGTATTTAAATAATGGTCTTATGACTAATATTCAGGATAAAACCTACTATTGTTTCCATACTCTTAGAGAAAATATTATAGTTTGTTTAGGATATCGTAATCACTAGGAAAATCCATCAGCACGCTATCCCTCAATGCGAAAACTTTGCTCAGTTATGGCAAAACAATGCATCCACTAAAACTTTATGAACTTTGAAAACACTTCATGTATTTTACTAGCAAAAAAACAAACATATACATTTTACATATCAAGGAGATGATCGTATTTACGAAACATGAAAGAAGTCGATTGTCATCTAAAGCATATTTTGCACTGCCTGCTGTTGTACAGTGAAATGCCCGTCGTCTTCTGTACAGCGCATAATAAACCCATATAAATATTAGGTGTCTGCATTAGGCATTTGCTTCTTCACAAGCATCGATCCAATCATTGTAGACATCAATCTCTTGGCTAAGATAATTTATTTTAGTCTGGAAGTCTTCCAAACATATTGTACACTTAATGTAACCAATATTGTTATCCCGTTGCCTGAAAAACGTAAAACTATGACACTTATTAGGGGAAAAACTTACAAGATAACTTCACAAGATCGACCATGATTGCAGAAAGGACAATTAAACACCTTGTCAAGTGGGACAATAGCTTTCCGCTTTGGTGGAGGCTTGTTACTACTTCGGCGACGACCCATATAAAAGTTTGGAACAGTGAACTATTTTAGAGTGTGAACTAAAAGATTTAAGCGGAAAAACTGAATTTAGTAGGATTTTGGAATAATTCGCGAAAAATCTCCAAAAATGAAATATCATAGAAACAATAACCACACAGGTTAAACAAATAGACTTCAACAATACTAGATAAGACAACCATGGTGAAGAAACAGGAGATATTATAGGAAATTCTCTTAACGGTTGAGGTTGGGGGTAGTCAACAGGAAATTTTGAAACTAGGTTTTGTCGGGAAGGTGTACCTGTAACCCTGAGGGCATTATTAATGCTCCCTAGCGGACCTGATCTCATGTGACACACTATAATCAGAGACGGTACCGCTTATCTATTTAGGGTTCTTCCGACCTCCTCCAGGACATAATTACAATTGAGTAGTAACCAATGTCGAGTCGCTAAGACTAGTGGCCACATCCCAACTTGATCTATAAATATTCGATCAGGACTAAGATGGATTTGACATATATGACACTGGTCACTACTCAGTGATCAATTAACTGTAAATCGTCTTAGTCATAGTCAGAAATCAGTAAATATATCAATGCTTCAAAACCTGATGGTGACTGGGAGTGTGCTCAATCCATTTTAGATTTCATTTGAAGGGCAGTTCATATTTCATGATTTACTATTCTTGAAGTCAGATTAACCCCAAATGCATTTTTGCGGCGCTGGTGTTGTTTACGAAAATGAGAGGACGCACGGTGCTTCAACCGTGTTTGTGGGTTCGCGTGACCCACCTATGGGGCTGTAAAACCCTGATTCCAAACCAATGGTGCACATGGTCTACAGGATCCTAAGGGACCAAAGGGCGAATGAACCAATCGTTGGTCACCGGCTACCATTGGACCGCACCTCCTAGCGTCGCTCCAGTACCACGAGGATTGGATCTCTAGGTTGAAGGCTCGGGGAGTGGCCCGCTAAGGAAACCACCTGCTTCAGTCTGGGCACCCAAGCAGTCTCCCAGCCCTAACACAAATCGAATGGTAGAGTGTGGCAAATACATATTCGGTATTAACGATTTACAAAGTACCTGTTTCGTAAGCACGATAATCTATTTATTTATTTGAACACATAAATATTGGTACAAGAGAGCGCCAATATATATGCGCCACACAAAACAATGAGAATTTAAAGAGAAGAATGAAAAAATGAAAGGTAAGGAGCGTTAAAAAAAGAACAATAACGAACGAATTAGTAAGGTAGTGGAATAATAATAATAATAATAGTGATAATGGGGAAAACCAAAAGGTACAATGAGAAAAAATCTTCCAGTCAGGGAAGAACAACCTTTTTCTAATGAAGAAAATAAAGGAAGGTTTTAGCAGGATCGCCACCGGCTTCTATTCTGAGCCATATCTGATAACGTCTCTAGCCACTGTGTAGCACCATCTCTCGGACCCCAACCAGGGAGTCGTGAAGGACCAACACAAGCCAGTCCTTTGCAGCTTTCTTTCATGCCACGACACCATGTCATGCACTGACCACCTCTCCGCTTCTTCCAACCAGTCCCAGAGTCGGCAAATAATGCACGACGTGGAATTCTCTGGGACGACATTCGGAGAACATGTCCAAGCCACCGAAGTCGGTGTTTCAAGATGGTGACACCAATTGAGTTATCATCTCTGTGCCCGAACACACGATGCCGAACCTCTGCATTACTGACATGGTGTTGCCACTGAATGTCAGCAATCCTTCGGAGACAGCGATGATCGAACACAGAGAGTCGTCTAACGTCCTCAACTCGGAGAGGCCAGGTTTCACAAGCATAGAGCAAAACTGCTCTCACCGACGCGTTGTAGATCCGACCTTTTACAGCCAGACTAACATCACGAAGGCGCCAAAGGTGGCCCAGATTGGCATAAGCCGCTCTGGCTTTCACTATTCGTGCATTGATCTCATCACTCACACCCCCACCAGCACTTATGCAGCTACCCAGATACACGAACTTCTCAACTACGTCTATCTGCTCACCGTCCAGGGTGAGTACAGGATTAGAATCCTGCCAGTCTTGTAGAAGTACTTTGCACTTCGAAGGTGCAAAGCACATACCATACCTACGGACACTGATTGCCAACTGATTAAGTGCGGATTGCATGCCTTGGGCATTATCGCACAGTAAGACAATATCGTCCGCATACTCAAGGTCGAGAAGTCTTTCTCCAGGCAACAGATCCACACCACCATTACTTACATTCATCAGAGCTGTTTCCAGAATGTCATCGATGGCAAAGTTGAAGAGGAATGGTGAGATTGGGCAACCCTGCCTAACCCCACTGCTCGAATGGAACAATGGAGAGAGGTGGTTGTATGCCCTCACTCTGCCTGAGGTGTTTTTACATAGGGCTTTTAGGATGTTAATAAACTTCTCAGGCACACCCTTCTTCAATAGACAATCCCAGAGAACAGTCCTATCCAACGAATCGAAGGCAGCCCTGATGTCAAGAAACACTACGATTGTTGGCCTTTGAAAAGTATGGCGGTGTTCTAACATTTGGCGGAGGGTGAAGATATGATCAATACATCCTCGACCAGAACGAAACCCAGCCTGCTCCTCGCGAGTCAATCTTTCTCGGGTTTTGAACAACCTACGAAGTATGACGGAAGCCAATAGCTTGGACGCAATCGGAAGTAGACTTATCCCCCGATAGTTGTTACAAGAACGACGTGAACCCTTTTTAAAGATAGGGACAACTATCGACTCATTCCATGACGTTGGTACACTCTCTAGTTCCCAAACCTTTGTAAACAACGTCGTCAATTCCTTAGTCAAAAAGTCACCACCATCTTTAAAAAGAGCCGGAGGTAAGTCATCTGGGCCAGGTGATTTGTAACGCTTCAAGAGTTGGAGTTCCTTGCGGACTTCCTCCTCATTTGGTGGATCAGTCGTCACCGGCCATGGAGGGCAGGACAGTCTGACCGATGTTGCCGGAGCAGCAGGCCAGTTGAACTGCCCTTCGAAAAATTCTGCCCATCGTCCAAGACGTCGATGGATGTTAGTGATTGGCATCCCATCATCCTCGCAGATTGTTTCACTCACACCAGACTTCTTGCTGCCAGTGGCTCGGATGAGTTGGAAGAGCTTCCGGTAGTTACCAGATGCAGCTGCTGCTTCCAGCTCATTAGCACGCATCGACCACCAGGCTTCTCGGTCCTTACGCAAGCTTTGCCCAATTTCCTTACGTAACATCCTTCGTTTATGGTCAAACTCACGGTCACCCGGAGTAGACCGACGGGCTTCAATGAGTTGTAAGGAACCAGAAGAAACCCAGTGCTTTAAAGCGGGACGTTTCGCAAACCCACAACTGACTGTTCCCGCCATTTTCATGGCGTCATGCAATTGCAACCAATGCTCATCTATACTTTTCGGTGGAGTGGTAGCTAGCCTAGAGGCTAGCTCGGTTCGATACTTACTTGCAACAGAAGTTGCAACCAGCTTGCTAACATCAATCCGTTGGTGGCGGTCACTTCGTTGTCCACTGAAAAGTAAGGTAAGATTGGCGCAGACCAAGGCATGGTCAGAGTCCAGATAGGTACTCCAAAAGGAGCGGCAGTCTTGTACACAACCACGCCAGCGGTAGCTGATCGCGATAAGCACAGATCTAGAAACATAAATCAAATATCCTTAGCAGATTTAGTTTTTTTTGCTAACTGGCTAGGCTTTCTGCAAGATTGTGCACCTTAAGTTGACATCGATCTTTCCTAAATATACATCAGATTAGTAGTGAACTAAGGACGTCATACTTAAAGGATGAAGGGAAGAACAAGTGTATTTCTAACCCTGCAGATGTGCTGGAAGATAATTTTAAAAATTCCACTAGGCTTTTGCAAACTTGGGCTACCTGTGGGTTAGGCGAAATATTAGTATGGCTATCAAATAGAGAACATACTTCATAGCCTACTTCCCGATACTCTGCAGTCACGGGACGGCTTTTTAATGTAGACCTTTGCACGTTACTAGTATCTGACTATAGATAACTTGGAAGTACTACTTAGTAATGGTGGAACTACCAAAGATTTGGCGCATAGTAAGAAGGTGAATAAATGAAAACGTTGCGAAACCACATTGACTGGTATGGTTAGGATGGATTTTGAGCGTGACAAACTACCAATAAATTCAAAGTGAGATGTTGATGACAATTGTTTTCGGGGATATCCATAGATGGGGGCTGTTTAATTGTGGCCTGTCCACAGTTGAAGACAATGGGTGATACGGTTCAAAATAGACTTAGGTGGTACACTACCTTGCTCTCAATTGATTTTATATTTATTTATTTATTTGAACACATAAATATTGGTACAAGAGAGCGCCAATATATATGCGCCACAAAAAACAATGGGAATTCGAAGAGAAGTAGAAAGAGAAAAAAAAACTAAGGAACGCAAAAGAAAAAGAGAGTAATGACGAAGAGGTACAATCAGAAGAAATCTTTCAGGTAAGGGAGACACAACCACTTTTTATGAAGAAAGGAAAAGAAGATTACAGCAGGATCGCCACCGGCTTCTATTCTGAGCCATATCTGATAACGTCTCTAGCCACTGTGTAGCACCATCTCTCGGACCCCAACCAGGGAGTCGTGAAGGACCAACACAAGCCAGTCCTTTGCAGCTTTCTTTCATACCACGACACCATGTCATGCACTGACCACCTCTCCGCTTCTTCCAACCAGTCCCAGAGTCGGCAAATAATGCACGACGTGGAATTCTCTGGGACGACATTCGGAGAACATGTCCAAGCCACCGAAGTCGGTGTTTCAAGATGGTGACACCAATTGAGTTATCATCTCTGTGCCCGAACACACGATGCCGAACCTCTGCATTACTGACATGGTGTTGCCACTGAATGTCAGCAATCCTTCGGAGACAGCGATGATCGAACACAGAGAGTCGTCTAACGTCCTCAACTCGGAGAGGCCAGGTTTCACAAGCATAGAGCAAAACTGCTCTCACCGACGCGTTGTAGATCCGA